GAGTGCTAGGATTACAAGCGTGAGCCACTACGCCCGGCAGTGTGTTTAATCTTGATGCTTGATAAATGATATGTTGTTTTATTCAAGATACATTTCCTTGCCCTCATGGCTTAGAAGGTTGTCTTTGTGGCATTAGATCATCTATTGAAAATAATATTGCTAGGCATACTTTCCTATTGGTGTCATTTATAGTGATCAAGAACTTTAGTTAGATCAGTGAATCCAATCCATAGTTTATAAAGATACCCACCTACAGATAGTTGTAGTAAGACAAAAGAGCTTTTAAAACTGTTTCCCCATGATTGACTGGCAATTGCAATTTGGTACTGTGGGAAAACCACAGGAGGGGAGCTAACTGAAGCTTATTTGCTTTAGGATAGGCTTATTGGTTTATTTAGAAGACTTACTGAGGTAAAGAGATTTTCTCTGCATTTGCACAGGACACTTCTGCCTGTTTACAGACAGTTGGCCTATGTAATTGAATAAAAGTCCATATAATATGTTATCATATAAAGTAAAATATGCATACACATTACCTATAACATAAAATAGCATAGTCCAGACTATGATTTTGAATAATACCTGGAAAAGACTCCAATTGATAAAGAGCTTATTGATAATTATTTCTACATAAAAAAAGTTGATTTGAAACCCATCTGGGATCCTTTATTTTCTATTTCCTATCTTTGCCTTGATTTGTGTTCTAAGACTGTTTCTAAAGTTTCAAAAATGTATCCTTAATGAAAATATTATCATTTAAGAGCTGTGTAAATGTATAAACATTTAAGAAATGAGATTATCCATGTATTAAACTACACACATTAAGTCCCATAAACAGAATTATGTAGTACTGTTTATAGGATGTAGATCTAAGCATATTAGAGTGAAAAAGGCAAAAGAAAACTAGGATGATGGACTTGTATGGCTAGAATTAATCTCTGCAATTTCAACTTTGGTGTAAAGTATAATTTAGCCTAGTTCTCTGGTACTAGTTTCCTGGAGGGCCTTATTAGTGCTTTGATGCTCAGAAAATGTATGAATGCACAAGATATGACTGCACACCAGTTTTCAAAATAAAACATGCATACTTTCCTAGCTCTGGTTTTTCTTGGGATTATGAGACTGTTAATGTGAAAAGTTAAACCAAACAAAAGAAAATACTGAATTTGTACACTGAAAAATTAAGTCCTTTTTCTTCTCCAAATGTTTTATATTTGATATGAGGTTTTAAAGGCCTTTCTGACATCCTCATTTTGATGCTGAATATTTTATTAATTGGTTTAAGATATGTTCATACAAGAAAAGTAAAAGGAGTCTTCATATAATCTTTCATCTGAAATTCTAGACTTTGTACTTTTTCAGAGTCCTTGCAATTTATGCCAATATTATCATTTTCTTTGTTACTGGTGGAGAAACTCAAACACACTGATGTTTGACTTCAACACATAGCTCAGTAAATTAGAATCATGGAACTTTAGAAGTAGATGTATCAGCAAATCCAGCCTTCCTCATTTTCTGATGAAAAATCTGATGTCTAGTCTGGAACCCAGGGCTCCTGGTACCATATCAACAATAGTACTCCATTTAGAACCTGGGCTTCCTGTTTTCAGACCACAGAGTTAAACTCCCTTCCTGAAATTACAAAAATAATCTGCTCAGTTCTCTTCTGTGTGCTGGGGAAAGCTGTTGCCCAGTCATGAAGAGAAAAAAACAAACAAACAAAAAACATGCCAAAAAAAAATCCCTCCCAGAGCCCAGGTGAGTGAACTGTAGGGTGACTGAAGCAGCCTTATGGGCCACTCTGGTTTTCCTATTTATGAAGCTCTTATTCTAAACTGTCAGCAATATCTGTGCTTCAAGTCAGGGAACATCATGCTCCCTGTTCTTCTTAGTGGTTATTTTAATTCCAATTCCTTTCCCACCATTTCTAAACAGATGCCAATTGTTCCACAGTGTCTCTCCTCATTCCTTTCTGATTGCCTTATCTCTTTCCCTATCAGTTTGTTACTTCCTATCCTTTTATCCTTGCCTATCTCACTCTTCCTTCAGTCTTCAAGTTTCAGATGAGTTGCTGGGCAAAAAAAAAAATACGATGAATACTGGAAAATATGTACGGATTCAAGGGTAAATTGCATGGGGCTTGTGGGCAGGGGACTATTAAAGGCTATCTTTTTTTGTCTCCACAACTAATTCATACACAGATAATGCCAAAATGTTTTTTGTATGTTTTGTCTTTTATGGTAGTACTTGTTAGGTAGTAGCAGTTGTGGCTGAGATACTTTTGTATAAAGCACAGTGGTTCGTATTATGACAGTAATACAAGACAACTTCCCCATCAGCTCTACTACTGCCACTATGATGATGATGATGGTGATCATGATTGTGACGCATGACAAGGAAGGTCGATCTGGAAGTAGGCAGCCTTAGTGTTAGGGATGCTTTTTACTAGTTATTTGTTGGGAGTGTGGTATATTTGCTTCTAGTACATAATTGACACCAAATCATAATGTCTCTATAATGAACAATTTGGGATGCAGTTAGTGGAGGCTGGGATTATTTTTAACTCAGTCTATCCAGTTAGTGCTGTAGTCTCTATGGGCAGAATTTTTCAGTAATTCTTTGAGGTTATTTCTCCTTCTGATGGAATGAGTGCTCAGATGTAAAACTCTCCCTTTTTGGTTTTTATATTTTTCTTCTGATTTATTTCAAAGACTCACCAGCTGTAGTCTTTCTCTCCTCCAAGAACTGGACTACACTTCTACCTCATGTTTAAGAGGACAACTGGTTTAGCTGAGTCATTGTCACATTTCATTCTCCTCCAAACTAAATGTTTTTGGAAAGTGATAATAAAAGTCAAATGGGTTATAACACTGAAAAACATCCTGATGTACAAGATAGAGAGAAAGGTAGGAGAAAGGGGTTGAAGACATCCTTCTCCATTCATTTATAAAGGACAATCCAGTACAAATTTGATTAATTTAGTCTTATAATTAGGATCAAAACAAAATTGTGTGGTTTATCTTAAGTGATTTAGATTTTTACTGCTGTCAAGTGTTTGAAAGTTTGGAGGATCATTCCCAAAAAAAGTTTCTCTGCAGTCCATGTCTCATTTCTGCAGCTTTAGAAAAAACAATACTACCCCCTCCCCGCTGCTCCCCCATCCCCCACAACTCCCAGATCTTTGAACATCATGCAGTGTACAAATAGTAAAGTTCCATATAAAATGTCAAGGGGAAAAGAGTGAAAAATTAAATATTTGAGCTGTTTCTTAAAGTATTACAGCTATTTTATCTGGGATGAGTTAAGAAATGTCTAATTATCCCTGTGTTATCTGTAATACTTGACATCCCAACAAAGGCGGGGCATGTGACTCCTCTCACGGGGCTGGAACTCATCCAGGGATGTGGGAGGGAGCTTCAGCAGATTTTACATGGCCGGGATTTATTGCTGGTGAGATAGTAGTTTTGAGGGTTTTTTTCCACCTTGGGATATAATTGTACTTTTTTCTTTATATTTCATAAAAACAATAGTTATGTTTAAAAGAGGAAAAAAGGTCTGTGTCTCCAAAATATGATTTAGACAGGGAATACATGAAACGGATTGATTGATTTATGATTATGGTACAATTAGAAAATGATAACTTATGGAATGCCTGGTTTTAATGTAAACAATTTGCTGTCAAACTCAAGTGACAGTCTGATTTTTGCCTCATTGGTCAGGAAAACTATACAAACAATTTCAAGTAAACTACTCAAAGCAGGAAATATAAGGATACCTAAAAATTTAAAAGAAGCATGAATTTTGGAACTTTGGATTGGTACAAATTTAGTTCTGGTATCTGGTTCAGAATTATTCTCATTTTATTCCAAACTTTTTGACATCATGGTAAAGTATGAGAACCAAGTTGAATCCAATACAGTGGTTTTCTATTGTAGACAATAGAAAACAAACTTAACAACAGAACCATTTAGATATGACTACATTGTGTGGGGGGCATCTAAGAGTCTTTGCTTGGTTCTGCTCAGCTTGCTTTATGGAAAGTACAATATGAAAACATTATACTCAACCCTGTTCCCAGGTCTCAAGCTTCTAGGCCTCAATATTTTTAGGGTGAAAGGCTGCATTCCTTGACAACAGAGAGGAAACAAGGAGGCATTCTTGAAAATTCTGCAAATATATCTTGAATGGCTCAAATCAGCCCTTAAAAAGATCTGTATATTCTATTTCTTGACTTTTAAAATTGATGCTATCCTTTGTTCATGAATAAAATTGAATTTCCTTTATAATAATCAAAATGCAAAGTATGAAGCATAGCTTTCTGGAGTTATTTGCTGGAATTTAAAAAACAAAGATAGTGCAATATTACCTAGCATGTAATATATATTAAAATTTTTTTGAGTCATATGCTTTGTGACTATAAGAACTTTCTCTATATTTTCTTGGAAATTATAAATAAAACTTAGATTTTGTGCACAAAATGTGTTAGTCAATCAACTATTAAATATGAAGACTGGTTTAGGAGTTAAACAAATAAGCAATGAATGTAAATTCCAACTTAATTAACAACTTTTGTAAAAAAAAAGATGACAGAACATATTTTGAATAATTTATGTAATGTAAGGTAAAAGAAACCAAGATGAACCACGTGGGATGGACAATGAAAAAAAGATTGTATAAGGCCTGGCCCCCAGAAAAGAATTGAGAGTGATATCAACTTATAATGAGAAAGCCAAGCCAGGCAGAATGTACATCAGCTGTCAGATTGCTTCATTCCTTTTACAGCAGTTGTTCATCTGAAAATAGCTTTCAAATGAGAAAGGATGACTACAAAAGGATTAGTTACCATAGGCTTTACTACACCGCCCAGAGCTCCAAGTTTGTTATGACAGAACAGCAAGAATTTAAAGGAAGTAAACTATAGAATAAGAAACAACATCAGGAGGGAGTTAGCTATGTTAAAGCTGAGCTATACGAACGCTACAAAGGGTTTTTATTGGTACCATTTCCATGGATTTCCTTCATGATGGCTGATGCTTGCTGTTTCCTCTGCTTCACCATGGTATTATGTGATAGCATGGTTTTTTGTTCCCTGTTAAAAATAAAGGGACATTATTGAGGCAATGTAAAGAACTCATTTAGAGTGTTTTATGATCCTCCTTCTGAAGGAGAATATCTTTGTTCTTTATTAGGAATTTATTATTGCTTTCTACTGAAAGACTTTAGTATGCATTGCTTATTCGGTGACGGAGCAGGCTGTTCCTTGGCAGGCGATGCCACAGTGAACAGAGGATGGTATTGAGAGTTTCAGACCCAGTCTTATCTGTACATTAGTACGACCATCATCAGGCAGTGAGAGATAACGAAAGAGCTGGCCTCCTCTCTCCTCCCTCTCTCTCTTTTCCACGGTTTATCTTAATCTGCCATCGTTTCCTTCCTGGCCTCCATTTGTACCAGCATCACATGTATCAGTTCCAGCAGACGGTAAGACTGAAGAAGACACCAGATTAAACCAGAAGTCTTTGGTGGTGGCATTTTACTATTGGCAACAGCTGCCCTTTAAAGCAAAGAATGACCATCTATGAGTCACAACTCTGAACCTCCTTGGACAACTGGCTAACAAAACATTTTAGGAAACAATATACTCACCTAGCTGTGAGGCTGTGCTTTCCAGCAGGGACGAATCTCAATTCGTGGAGGAAGGCTCTGGAGATGGAATATAGGTGGCACTTGGGCCAATGGTTTTTATCCTTGAACCTCGAACGGCATGGTCCCTCGCTCTGACTTAAACTGGGGACTGAGCTTTTCTGAAGAGACTGGCATCCAGCTGACATCAACTGACTATATATAGCACCAAATACTTCAGCTACTCATATCTTCCTGGCGAAAGAGAGGAACAGGGAGAGATTAGGTTCTCTCCATTGTGTTTCTAGTTTGTGAGATGTTTGAATGAAGTGTTCATTCATTGGACATTCAGAAAGTTTTTTACTGAGCACCTCTATTTGAGGAGATAGTAGCCAAAAGGAATTTTAAAAACTTTTTAAGATGTAGCTCTTGTGCTCCATCTTAATTGAGATGGCAAGGGACTCATATCTGAATTAGAAGAGGATGGTAGATGATTCGTAATTACAATGAACAGTATGGACAATAATTATCTACAGAGATTCAAGAGGAAAGAAAGCAGTGTGGGGTGGACCAAGAGAGCCAGTCCTTAGCAGAAGTGAGAACTCATGCTAGGTTCATAAAAATGGGTAATATTTGAATAGTGAAGTGGGGGAGCATTTTGAAATGGGCCATTAGAAGCTGAGACACGAAGGTGAATAAAAGCTTAGACTCGTAATTGTGTCATGCTTCCTGAAGAGACTCGTAGAGACCAGTCCCTGGAAAGTTGGCCAGTCTTATAAAGTCTGGAGTAAGGATTGCTGTTTGAGGGAATGATAGGGTAAGAGGTTGGAAAGGTTTGCTTTTCATGTTGGCCTCCTTGCTGGTGTCTGGACATGGAAGTATGTCCCTATGTCTGGGCTTTTCCTTCCATTGTTTCCCACTCCCTGGCACATGCCTTCCCTCTGCCCACATGGCTCAGTCCCTCAAGCACTCAGGACTCTGCTCAGATATCAATTCCTCACAAAATCCTTCCCTAATCACCCTGTCTAAAATATCACACTGTGTCATTCTGTCTACTCCACTATGCTTCATTTTTCTTTGTACCTTTGTATTCGTTAAGACTAAAGCCAAATGGCAGCGACAGAAAGCCCCCAAGAGGAGAAATTTACAAAGGTGGAAGTTGTTTCTCTCATAAGGAGCTTAGTCCAGAGCTCAGTAATCGAGGGTTTGCACCAGTGACATAATCAGCAGGGAGGGGCGTTCCTCCTAACTTTTTGCTCCATTATCCCTAAAATGCACAGCCCTCTGTCCTCATCGTGGGCTCCAGCTCCAGTCCACACGCACACGCTTCAGCCCACAGGAAAAAGAAAAAGCAATGGGAAAGGCACACTTTTCCCCTTCAGAATGTGTTTGGTGTTGCTCATACCTCTTCTGAACTCAGTCACAGAGCCATTCCTAACTCAGCAGAGGTTGGGACACGCAGCCTGCATTCTGGGCGGTCGCATGCCAGTTAGAAGTCAGGAGTAACATACTGACAAAGGAGACAGTGGCCACTGAGTGACAACACTCAGCTTTTGCCATGAGAACTGTCAACATTATTTTATCTAGCTAGCTAGCTAGCTGTGTATCTGATACTTCTTTTTTCTACTAACAATGAACTCTGTGCGGGCTTGGTCTTTGTATCATCAGCACCAGAACTGTACGTGGTATGTGGCAAGCACTCAGTACTCACTGAGTGAATGAGTGGATTGAAGGTCCGGCATCAGTTGGAGTTCAAATGAACAGTCACTTGAATATAAAGTGGTGGCTATTTATGGGGGAAGTTATATTATATAAGATTGAAATAGGTTATACATTTGGATGCCTGATAATAGGATTGAAAGTTTAAGGTTGTAGATGGTAGGTTCAGGCTAACCTATGGCAGTTGCTTTTCAGCAAACATTCATATTGAAATTGTTAATTAGACACCAATGAGAAACTATTCACCAAAGCAAACGAATTTAAATTGCCTCTCAAGTTCCCTTGATTGCCTGCATAAAAGAAAAATAATGGTATTCTCAATAGACAATCGTTGTTATATTAATTTTGGTTTCCAAAATGAAAATAGATACTGTATCTTAAAAGAATGTAAAAGTTTTATAGAATATGATACCTTCTTTCTGTTTATTTTTCAAATATATTATACTTAAAATTGCCTGGCCTTATTTTTTTTTTAATAAGGAGTGGGGGGTTGTAAGGAGGAGTGCTCAGTTGCCTTGCTTGTTTTTGCTGAGACAGAGTATTACTCTGCCACCCTGGGTAGAGAGCAGTGGTGTCATTGTAGCTCACAGTAACTTCCAACTCCTGGGCTGGGACTATAGGACACAATGCCTTCTGGGGGTATTTTTTGTTTTTGTTTTTGTTTTTCATTTTTGGGGGTAGAGACGGAATCTCCCTCTTTATCAGGCTAGTGTGAGCCACCGTGCCCAGCCAATTCTGACTTACTTATTAAGCTCATTTATACACATTTAGCTTTCTAGTTTCTGAGTTATTATTTGCTCTGAAAAAGAAAACAAATAAGTGGTGTTGCAGTTTTAAGACAGTGTACGTTATCCATGAGATTCATGACACAAATGCTGAACTTTCAAACAGAATGGTAATGGTTATTATAAAGTATTTTCATATGGTCCATTCTGAAAGCTAATGCCTTTTAATTTTAAATCAAGTAACAATTGAAATATTTCTATTCATCTACACAGAGATCTGGTGCTAGACAAAGTACAACTCTCCCCAAATTTGTCATATTGTCATCCTTTTAAACTCAGCCCACACCCTCCCATCTCCACGACGCAGGGCTGCCTCCAAACCCCAACACACATTGTAAGCTAGAAAAGGAGTCTCCTACCCCCAGGACTCAATTCCTGTCCTTGTCCTACTACCCATTCCTGTCCTTGAAGCTTCTTCCTAACCCCAGTGTAAGCAGAGTAGTACTTCACTTTTCCACCAAGGCCCTAAGTATTTTTAAATAACTAGTGCTGAAGATAAAAGATGAGATTTTTTTCCTTATAGGCAAAATAATGGGATTATAATGGTAGAAACTTATGCCGTGGGAGGCAAGTAAGGAAGAAGTTTTTGGCAGAGATTTTTGACAACCCTGTAACCAGACTATTTCCCCTGCTGGGGCTGGCCACAACGCATTTCCAACTCCTTCACCACTTGCTCAAAGACAAACATTATTGAATAAGGTGACTTTGACTGCCATATTACCACCTAACAAAAATGTACACCATGAGGATCCATGAAAGGCAGGCTCACTCAGCCAGTGGTAAACATGAAACTTGTAGCCAACAGGCAAACAAAGCCTACCTTGATCTTCCTTTAACTGAGCACTTGTTTTTTAATTCTGTGTTTCTCCTTGTCTCATTTACAATCTATATTGGGTGGCTGTGGACAGGTCAGGGCAGGATGGGGTGGGGCAGAATGTGGGAATTCACTGTTTGCTAGGTGGGCAGGCAGAAAATTAGTGTTCCTGAGGCTGGGCTCTGGATTAACGCACGCATGGCCCGACAAAACAGCTGCCGGGCCAGGTCGAGTGACGAATCTTTACCAGTCTGCAGGGCCTCAGTTATGGAGCCAACCCTGGGAGGAAAGAAACCGTTTGGAAGGATAACAAATGTGGGATGAACACCGCACCTTGTGGGCTTTGGTTTCTTCTGGGAGCCTCCTTGGCTTGCCATGTCTTCCATGGTTTCTACTTTCCTATGCTGAGGAGGGTCCGGCCTGCAAGTCACCTTCTTAAAAGACCATAGCACGGGGAGGTAGGAATGAGCAGTGCTGTGGTGGTCATTCTTCCAGCCAACCTGGGACAGTACAAGAAAGACAGATGAGTTCTCAACTAGTCCTACGACAATAAAGGCCTAATGGCCACCAGAGTGGTAAGAGGAACAGTTGTAACCACCATGGAGTTAGTGTTTGGTTGGTAAGGCACGGTTAGTCCTGTTTTGCAGGTGTGGAAACTAAGGTTCTGAGAGATTAAGTAAAAGCCCCGAAGCATCGTACTTGTCAGTTACAGACATGAAGTTAAAAAATTGTTTCTGTCTGATCCAAAGGCTTTTGTATTTTCACCATATTGTACAGAAATCTCTATTTTCCTAATCTCTGAATATCTCTGCATTGATGTCTACACAACAAAAATAAAGAAGCGGAGTTGAGAATTGTCAGGATAATTACTACAATGTCCTCTTTATTGATTTCCTTTGGAATTTAACATCCCGACATTGGGTTTGTTTTGGCTGAGGTGCTTTTTACTTCTAATATTTGTGGCTCTTTTCCAACTCATGTTTTTCTGGTTTGCAAACTTCTAGAGTTCCTCGGGGTGTCTGTGCTCAGGGTGCTTTCCTTTCCTTCAGCTGTGCAAATACAAAAGTTATTAAAGTATCTAACGTAAACAGATGGAAGCCATTTGCGGCACAGACCTCTCCTTCCTCTCCTGGCCCACGTACCACACCACCGTGACACCTGCCACCTTTGTTGCCAACAGTAAGTGTTAAATCCACTTCTATCAAAATAAACCATTTATAGGAAAGCGCCATATTTTATCCGTCTTCCTTTGCACATTTATTTCTTTTACATAAGCATTTCCTTCTTGCATTAGGCCACAAGTGAGCTGGAGAGAAGGGTGAGCAGAGCCGAAGACCAGCTTGTCAAGGACAGGAGCTAATGGAATCGAGTTGGGAACTTGGGAAGAAAGAGAGTTTCATATAAAAGAATATTAAGAAACAAGTTGCCAAAGCAAACCTGCAAATCATTTTTTTTCCTTTGCTTGCATAATCCCAACACTTATCCAGAACTTTGTCCCATTTCCTTTCACAATTCTAGCCAGGCTGTATTTTTCCTATACAGTAGGGATACAAAATACTAAAGCTTTTCTTTCTTGTTGTTTTGACAGTTTTCTCACCTACAAGAAAATCTACTCCTTTTCTTATATACAAATTGAGCATGACTTAATTGAAGTTTAGCAAAGAAAACATGAAGTTTTTTTTTTTTTCTTAAAGAATGTACATTCAAGAACTGTAGTGACAGAACGTAGGCCCCACAGCCACGTATCACACGGCAGAGTGTCGGCAGCTTGCCTATAAAACAGGACAATCCGGTATCAGCAGCCCAAGGCTGTAGCATTGCATCACGATATCACAACGCCTGGCATAAATAATAAATGTTAGCTATTACTATTATTAGCATTAAAAATTTTAGCATAAACGTGAAAAAATGATATCAAAATATGTAAAGTCACTGTAAATAATAATGGCTTAAATCCCATTTGCAGATGAGGCACAGAGATGTTAAGACACACGCTGAAGGTCACAGAGTGAAAAAGTAGAATGGCTCTTTAACTGAGAAAGATATGGCTATAACTTAAGTTGTGGCATTATTACCTGTAAACAAAGTATGTGTGTCTCAGAGGAGACATTGCTAAGAAATAAAACACCCAGAAATAAACTGCAAAGGGCTGGTATATTTAATAAGCCTCTACCTAGTTGGGGGTGATTTATCAGTGAATTAGAACCTGATGTCATTAACAAAATCTAAGTTGTATAAATAATTCTCCTTATTCTAATTTTATGCCTGCTATCCAAATTTCTAATAATCTTTTGTTTTCCCATATATTTTGCCAGAATCCAAGCCCACCTACTTTTTCTTATTAAAGTATGCTGTGTTTTATGAATAAAAGATTCAGCGTCTAATGTTTGTTGAATAAATCAATGAATGAATAAGAAAAAGTTGGTGAAACTGGAACAGAAATAGGAGAGCAAAGTTCAAGGTAAAAGAGATATTTAAGGCATTGCAAAGGTCTACACAAAGGCCACAGAGAATGACACATAAGAAAAGGTCATTTGATTTGGCAAGAAGTAAGTCACTGGCAGCATTTAGAGACACCTCTGTAATGTGGTAGTAACAGAATCCAAATGGAAGGGATTTAAGACAAGAATGAGTGGATAGGGAGTGTATGCAGCAAATGGAAATTATGTCTTTGAAAGGACTGGCTGTGAATTGGAGGAGAGAAGGAGTCCAGTCTCCAGAAAAGAAAGCAAGTTGCACAAGTGTGTGTGAGAGTGTGTGTGTGTGTGTGTGTGTGTGTGTGTTTTAGAAGTGGAAACTTGAATGTGTTTGGAGATTAAAGGTTAGTAGTTGATGGTGCCTATACTTTCTTTACAATAGTTCCACTTACAGGATATTGTAATTATGAGATAACTAATCTTCAGTCCTTTGTAAAACATAATCTGTACCCCTGATTTTCAAGAGATCAATGATTGGATTTTATTTATTTTCTATGACCAGCGTGTATAGTGTCTGGCACAGAGTATGTAATGAATTTTTGTCCAGAGGAATGGAGAGATGCTACTATGGGTTTTATACTTAGCTCTTATGTTTTCAGGATGGCTCTAGAAGTTCCCGGCTTATTCATAAATTTTCTGCACACAGTAATTAGAATCTGCCCCAGAATCAGCTAATTGGTTATTCAGGTCTTTCGCTTTCTTTTACTAATGGCTTCATTCCTAAAGTATATTCATTCCTAAAGTATATTTATAGCAAATACTAACTGCCCACACAGAGTGCATAAGGCAACAGGCATTCCAGTAGGAGTAAGAGATACGTCTGCTTTCAAGGAGTTTTAAATTTAATGGGAAATATTAATTCCTCATTAATATTAATATTAGGTTATTAAGTATGACATGTCCAATTTCCTTAAGTATAAATAGTTTGACAGTTTATATGTCTGACATTTCACATTGACACTTATTTATTTTTATTGTGAAGGTACATTCTCAGTCTTTCTAACGCATGGTTTGGCTTGTGATTAGCTTTCAAATTTTTTTAGAGCAATTTTTGTGAAATCATGAATAAGTCAAAAATTCTTTCAAATAAGAGTTCTGTAATGGAACCAACGCCACACAGACAGCTCGAAATCTCAATGGAGCGTTTGGAAGGATGTGGCTAATGAACGCACAGTACATCGATGGTTTGAGGAGTTCCGTTCTGATGATTTTAATCTTGAAAATGAACCACGTGGGCAATCTGAGACCAAGATGTATAATGATGAGCTGAAAGCTGTAGTGGAAGTGAATTCATCTCAATCTACACATGAATTAGCAGCAAGGTTTGACATTACTATTCCAACAGTATTGGGCCATTTTAAACAAATCAGCAAGGTAAAGAAGCTGGGTAGATGGATACTACATGAATCAAACAAACGTCAATTGTCTTGCCTTTCTTTGTTGACAAGACATAAATGTGAACCATTTCTACACCAAATTGTTACATGTGATGAAAAATGAATTTTTTTTGATAATCACAAGCATTTGGCACAATGGTTGGATAAAGATAAAGTGCTGAAACACAGTCTAAATCTGAATATTCATCAAAAAAGCTAATGGTGTCTGTTTGGTGGTCCAGCACTGGTGTTATCCACTACAGCTTCATGAAACCTGGTCAATTGATTATAGCAATGTCTACTGCAACCAGTTGGACAAAATGAAGAGGATGCCTGTGATTAAGCAGCTGAGATTGGTCAATAGAGACAGGCTAATCCTTTTGCAAGACAACACTCAAGCACATGTCACACAAACAATGCTGCTCAAACTATAGAGACTGGATTTGTATACTCTCTATCATCCACCGTATTCACCAGACCTTGCACCAATTGACTACCACTTCTTCTAGGCTTTCCACCACTTCTTGCAAGGAAAAATACTCAACAAGCTGTGGAAAATGCCTTTCACAATTTCATCACCACTTGCTATTCCCTGCATCGTCTTTATGGATTTTTATAATGAATGTGTATGTATTGCTAAACTAAGTAGTTTGACTGATTATTGTTGAACTTTCGAAAATACAGTATTAACAGATTATATGTATTCTTAGCAACTTTTTTTTCCACTGAAAAAAGTTTTTAAGACTCATCCATTTAAAGTGTAGGTCTAATTTACTCATTTCCACTACAGTTTAGCACTCCATCATATGAATATACTGTATCATACTTTACAACCCAATTTCTTATTGATTGATACTTGGCTTCTCCCATTGAAAGCAATGATGCTACCAACAACACTCCTGAACATGTCTCCTGGGTACTTGTGTAAGAGCTTCTCTATGGAATAAATTTAGGAGTTAAATTCATAGGTGGTAGTGATTGCACCAACTTATTGTCTCACTAGCAGAGTAGGTTAGACTTTAGCACTGTTACCAATCAAGTGAGTGTAAACTACTATCTTGAGGTTTCATTTGTATCTCTCTGGTTACCACAGTGAGGTCATACTCTTTTCCAATGTTTACTAGACATCCATTCATGTTTTCTCTTCTAAGATATGTCTGTTCCTATTGTTGTCTATTTTTATTTAATTGAGTTTGTGTTTTTCATATTGACTTTTAGGAAGTGTTAAATAGTCTGGTTATTAAGCCTTTGTTAGTTATTTGTGTGGCACATATCCTCTTTCAGTTTCTGGTTTGCTTTTTTAACTAAAATCTTTTTTCTTTTTTAATCTCTGGGTTAAACAAAAATTTAACCTTTTATGTATTTGAATACATCAATTCTTTTACTTTAGGGTTGGTGCTTTTCTGTCTTTTCTAACCTGACGTCATAAATATACCCTATTTTATTTTCTTCTAAAGTTTACAAAATTTTGCTTTTTGCATTTAAGACTTTACTCCATCTGAAATTAATTTTGTGTGGGGTATGAAGTAATGTCCAATTTAATTTCCTACAGAGTTGGTGGATTTGTTAATTTCTCTTTGTAGTTCTTTTCATTATATGATACTTATTTTGAGACTATGATATTAAACAATATAAATTTACAAATGT